TATCTATCTATCTATCTATCTATCTATCTATCTATCTATCTATCTATAAGTTTTGATAAACAGGAAGCTTTTAAGCCTTATCTTAAAGGTATCTGATCTCTCTTTGATCTATGTGGTGTTTTCTATGTTGAGTGTGTTCTGATGTTAGCATGTTAGCTATCGTACAAAGCACGGTACTGGTTTTTGCAGCTTTCATAACTGGTTTGTGTCCCTCAGGGCTTAAAGGGGTCCCAGTCCTACATCACCACCAGGGGACCTCTGGCGTCCTGTGTGGAGGATTTCTGGAAGACGATCTGGGAGCAGAATGTCGGCGTCATCGTGATGATTAGCAATCAGGAGGGAAAAGGAAAAGTGGGTTCTGCATCTCTGTGTGAAATCAAATAAATCTGAATGTTTTCAGACTGAATGAGTTCATCCTGTCTGTCTGTGGAGAAAACAGGCTCATCTGCATTTGACTATTTTCAATATGTTAAATAAAATTAATAAATTATTCCTGTAACATATTGGAAGTTTAATTTTGAAAACAAACATTTGCGAGAATAGAAATAAAATTAAATTAAATCGTTGACCTTTTATTATATAAACCTTGTTCAAAATGCATTAAATCAGGAATTATTATTATTATTATTATTATTATTATTATTATTATTATTTTGACCTATATATATACATATAGTTATTTCTGTATATATTTATCTATATTCTATGTGGAATTTTGTGTACATATATATATATATACGAATATATGTATAGATATGTATTTGCCGTTGTTTTATTTATGGAGCGAGTAACAAAAATAATTTCCCTCTGGGATTATTAAAGTATTTCTGATTCAGATTCTGATTCTGAATACAAAACCTCTTTGGAGCTCGATTCTTTGGGGCTTTTGACTCCTCAGTAATTCCTGTGATTTAACTTCTCCTCAGAGGGGAGGGGACTGGTTCTGGCCCCCGGAGACCCAGGAGGACTACGGAAGCCTGCTGGTTACAGAGAAGAAATGCAAAGTCCGAGCCTTCTACACCCAGAGGACGTTCTCTGTTAGGAGCACCAAAAAGGTCAGTTACACAGACACATGATTCTAGAAAAAAGTATCTGGTTAGACCAAAATGTAAACTTTAAAATGCACAGAAATACACGAATCTGACAGAAGACTTAGAGTCACTTCTGGAACAGCCTCCCAACAAACATCAGGGAAGGTCCCACTTTTTACACATTTAAAAAGCACCTTAAACAGTTTCTCAAAAGTTCCCAGACATGCACTCACTAATTTTATTATTGTAATGTCATTGTCTGACTGTGTGTCTCTCTGTTTTGACTGATATTGTATTGTGTGATCTTGTGTTTTTTTGTCTTCCTGCCTCAGGACGACAGATGTAAATTAGCAACTCTGCTATAATCTGGTTCATTTACAATCTGTATGAGATTGTTCATTAATGTGCACTGTCCTGATTAAATAAATAAATAAATAAATGCAGCCCAGACTTTCACGACCCTCTCCAATAGGATTTCAATGGAAGAATTTTGAGAAAGTCGGACCAACTGCCAAATCGGACGTCATTTTGAAATTGCTGTAAAAAACTAACCAATGGGAGCAGCCGAAAATAAAATACACTGGCTGAGACCTGGGACCCTCGTGCCGCTCACGGTCCAAGAATTATTAAGCTCTGTCGTATAGTTTTCGAACAGCGGGCGGGAGTTCGGAGAAACTTTTGATCGAAACTGTCAGTTGGGTCTGTGTCAGACCTTTGTGATGAGTCACAGGTGTGGCAGTTGAGACCTGTGGCCAGGCTGCTGTTGCCGTGGCGATCAGCAGAGCTCTGTGAGCTGTGAAGCTGATGGATACATTGGATCCGGTACCAGGCGGGCGAAGCCCACTT